AACAAATGGATAACATGATAAATGTATGTGTATATGTGTACACACACACACAGACACACACACACAGAGTAATATTCCTCAACCATGAAAAAGGAAAACTTGGTATTTCCAATAATATGAAGGAATACTGAGGGCATTATGCTAAGGGAAATAAGTCAGACAGGAAAAGACAAACACCATATGATCTCATAACTATGTAGAATCAAAAAGAAAAAAAAAACTCCAAACTTATAGATACAGAGAACAAAGTGTGGTTGCCAATGGCAGGGGTAGGGATGGGTGAAATGAATACAGATGCCCAAAAGGTACAAACTTCCAGTAATGAAATAAAAGTCCTGTGGCTGTAATGTATAGCATGTTGACTGTTAGTAATACCATGCTGAATATTTGTTAAGTCACTAAGACAATAAATCTTAAATGTTCTCATGACAAAAAAAAATTTAACTAGGTATAGGGATGGATATTAACTAGCTTTATCACGGTGATCATTTTGCAGTATATACAAAGAGTGAATCATCATGTTGTACACCTGAAACAAAACTTAATCATTTTTTTTTGTTTGTTTTAAGATTTATTTATTTATTTATTTATACAAGCACTGGGTATAGTCAGAAATGCGGGAGAGTGAGAGAATTCACCAGTCAGAGCGGGGAACAGAACAGGCAGACCGACAAAATACACTGCTGAGAGGAGCAGTGGGCGTGGCAGGAGAGGTCTGTGCTCCATGTGGGACCCTCACCAGCGGCTGGGGATCGAACTGGCACTGCAGAGGCTGCGGGCAGCTTCACAGCCCAGCTCTCAACTGCTGCGCCAATCCTTTCTCAAAAAAAAAAAAACCCATTTAACTTAAAAATATATACAGCCTATCAACATTTTGAATGGCTACTAATGTTTGATGCTGTACATGATTTGTGGACTTTATTTGCTACTGTAAAAATACTTGAGAATGCTGGCAGTCATCTTTATTTGTCTAATTAGCCCATAATAAAGTTATATCACTAATAGGTACATTTACCTAGTACCAAATTACCCTTCAAAAAGATACAAATTTTCACTTTCATTGCCTGAAAATCATTGCTTCCCCTCAAGCTCAATAAGAATATTTTAAATCTAATTTATGAATCTGGTTGAGTTTTCATATTTTTAAGTGGGTAACTACATTTAACTTCTCAACTTTTCACTCAAATCCTTTACATAATTTTATATTAGGAAATTATTTTCTTACTAATTTTAAAGAGCTCTTTATATGTAAGGATATTAACCCTGTTTTATGTTTAATTTTTTTTTTTAGTTCATTGTCTTTCAAGTTTATTAAGAAAGGCTTATTTAGTTATACAAATGTTTTAATCCAAATAGCCTCCTTTTCTTGTATGGTTTTGCTTTTGATGTGTTGTGAAGCAAGGAAGACCTTATTAGTAAAGATAATAACTTCTATATGTTCTTATCAAACACAACCTATCTCCTTGTTTTTCGTCTATAGAGTGAAGCGTGACTGAAAACGGATTTTATTTCAAAGCTTAGCTGTCCAGGTGCCGATTATCACATAAAGCTTATCCTTTTCCTTCACAATTCTGGAATGTCTTTTATATAGATACTGGAACTCCTCCTTCTGCCCTTTACCTTTTTTCCCCATAAAATCCATCAAATTACCTTTGCCTCCCATTTTGAGCTAATGTTTATAAAATAAGTGATTTTTGCCCCCTGCAGGCTATTCACAGAGGAGATATTTACACTTCAGAAAAAGTAGCAGGGATAGGGTTAGTTGACACTTTTTTTTTTAAAGATTTATTTATTTATATAAGAACTGGGGTACAGGCCAGAGGCGCGGGAGGGTGAGAGAGTTCACCAGAGACAGAGCAGGGAGCAGAACAGGCAGTCGGACTGAAGACACTGCTGAGGGGAGCAGCGGGCAAGACAAGAGAGCTCTGCCACGCCATGTAGTTATCTCCCTGGCTGGGGATCGAACCGGCGCTGCAGAGGCTGTGGACAGCTTCACAGCACAGTGCTCAACCTGCTGTGCCACTGGGGAGGCCCTATTGACATTGTTTAAGGTTGTTCTCTCCTTTTCTATCCAGCTTAGCATGCCAGATAGTGAGTTGGGGGATTCTTCACTCTAGAAACACCCACTCCGTACCCATCGTTCTTCGGCACAGATGGCTTTTTCCTCCTGCCTTGGTACTTTAATCACTACCATGGAATTGCCTTCCATCTGTGCCTATGGAAATCATACAGCTCTAGCATTATTCAGATGAAGTCTTTCAGAATTCCGTGGGGTTAGGGAAGGATCACCAGCATGTATTTATAAGCATAAGCATCTACACACTCTTGTTTGACTGTGATACCAGAATGTGAAGGTTTGTTCCTGGAAATAGGGGCACTACTTGAATTTATGCTCTTTCTATATACTAGGCAACCATCTCTGCTTAAATCCCAATATCATAGCATTCTCCCAGCCAGGTGCTTCTGCCTACCATTCATGTAGCTCTTGGTCAAGCTGCCCAGGCTGTCGAGAAGCTTCATAAAGTAAAACTATTTCTAGCCTATCATTAACCACCTTCTGATCACAATGCTGGGTTTCCTTCCCACATTTAATGATTCCAGGATTACCTCCACATCCCATAGCACATGCATTTCACCAAGAGAATTCTTTTCTTTGGTGGGCTTTTGTGGTATTATCAACACTAGCATTTGTATGATACAGATTTTCACTTCTAATCACAGTATGTGTAAGTCATTGCTTCCCCTCATGCTCATCACTTTCAGTTGAAATTGTTTAATAAAATATTAGGTAAAAACAGAAAACCCAGACAGAGTTAAACACATAAGAGCCATTCAAACTAAGACAGCTTAGTTTGGTACTTTTGAACTCACTAGCTAAGTATAAAATTAGGAATATGAGTAAATTTCACTGTAACAGATAGCAGACCTTGCAAAACATATATAATGGTATTGTTCTGTATCACAGTAAATTCAAATGCATTATATTTAATATAAAACTCTTTCCAAAATACACAGACCTATAAAAATCACTGCATGAGGCCGCTTTAACTGAGACATATGTGCATAGTAATTGCATCAGCCAGGCAAATTTAAGTAATATTTCAAACAATACATTTTCTTATTTCATAATTTTAAAATTCTGTGAAACTCTTGTGTAAAACATTGATGGGCTTCCATAAAATATTAATTATGATCAAGGACCTTGAGTGGGAGATGTGATTCACTATTTTGATTGGGCCTAGACCAAACATTTTCAGACATGCTTTCCATACAACAACTTATGAGACTTTTTTACTTGTTGTTTGTTTCCATAAATTTCTAATCACAAATTCTGCCATATTTTATTTCACGTTAAGAGGTTTGTGTTGCTTTTTACTACATATTTAAATTATGTTTAAGTCCAGGGTCCACAGAATCATCATTTTTCCCCCTTAGAAAGTGGTATATCAGGGCCTCCCCTGGTGGTGCAGGCGAATGAGTGCTGTGCTGTGAAGCTGTCCACAGCCTCTGCAGTGCAGGTTCAATCCCGGCCGGCTGGTGAGAATCCCACATGGCAAGGCAGACCTCTCCTGCCTCGCCCGCTGCTCCCCCTCAGCAGTGTATTTCTTCAGTCTGCCTGTTCTGTTCCCCGCTCTGTCTCTGGTGAATCTTCTCACCCTCCTGCACATCTGGCCTGTACCCCGGTTCTTGTATAAATAATAAATTAATTAACTAATAAATAAATAAATAAATCTTTTAAAAAAAATTGGCATATCACTTCCAACTTGTTAGCTACAGCAAGTGTTACTGTCACCCCTAACTTCAAGGGACAGAGAGTATTATCATTATCTATGTTCAGGAAAAGAGAACTGAAAATACTGTTGAACTCTATTGAAGCTACCACACTACCTGACAGGCAAAAGGAAATACCTCATTTTAGAAATTATCATGCTTCTCCAAGAACATTTTGTAACAAATTTTTAAGAAGAACAAATCACTTATTTCCCACCTGTTGAAAATATCAAATATATACATGCTTCTGGGCTCTCCTCCTCCAGGCCTTAGAAACCTTCCGTGGTAATTATACTTTAAACACTAGGCTTTGCACTGACCATCATATCACATCCATTTTCTACGCTGCCATGGAATCTTAATTTTAGAGTCTGGTGTAATATTTAAGTTGGAATTTATCAATTAATCATGTTCTTAGAATAACTAATAATTCCCATTCTGATTGCAAATGTGTATTCAAGCTAACGACTCTTTACCCTTACTGTGTTGAAAGATATTAAACCAATAAACCAATATACTTCCTCCCTCGAGCACTTGAAAGACAAACTACTATTTCTGGTCTCTCCTAAAACACATTCTCTATGACCAAACAATACTGCTTAATTCTGAGAAAATATGACTGCACTCTAAAGAGATAATTTATTCTAACATAATAAACAAGCAGCTGGAAATGTCTGGAAATAGAAAAACAGAAACTAAAGAATTATGATTATAAAATTGCTCAAATGATATGTTATTATATCTAAAGATGTATCAAGTTTTGAGAGAGGAGTACAATAGTTTAAGGAAATTATTTTTTCTGTATAAAAATTTTAAACTGAAAGCTAAACAAGAGAGCAATGTCAGATAATCCTTGAACTTGTGAAAGTATGTACTGCAAGCTTCCTTTAAGTGAGTTTAAGTGGCAAACTCCTTTAAGTGAGTTCTGAAATACAATATGCAAAAATTAAATTGCTTCAAAACTTTTCAGGAGTATACCTAAAATTAAAATTAATTAAAATTAAAATGAGTGATTCCTGAGCTGAACTTCAGAATGATGAAGCAAGAGTCTCAACTATGAATAGAGATGATTAATAGCAGAAAAGAAAAAAAAATACACATACAAAACAAGCCTCAGGCAAGCAAGTGACTTTTAGACAATTTCTAGGTGTTTGGGAAAGAACTTTGAGAATACTTTAGAGGACACTGGCATCACCATCACAGGAAAATAAGGACATTCTCTGCCTTACCTGTGGCACTTCGACTTCTTGTTCCTCGACTTCTGTCTCCTCTTCATGAACTGAGTTAGCCTCCTCCTCTGGTTGGCTGGGCTCTTCTAGGAGTTCTCTGCTGACTACTTCTTCCACAGTCTTAACTTCATCTTTGACAAGCTGAGTTTCTGCACAACTGTCCTCTTGTAAAGATGCTGCCACCAGGCGCAGGGGGGTCATGTGATCGTAATGAGTGTGAAGGATTCGCAGGGCAATGTCGCTTGCAGCTAATATCCTTGGAATTTCAAATCCAATTTCTGTGCCAGAGAACCGAATGTTCTTGTATCTGTTAAGCATTAATTTTAACAATGTCAATGAAAACCTGGGAAAGGAGTTCTGCTGTGAATTTACACCTAAGTGCTACTTCTGTCTTACTTCACCTCAATTTGAAATCCTGACCCTTGCTCTCTTTGCAGCACATTTGGACCCAGTTACTGATGTACTCCTCAAAATACTTTTGGGGGATCCCTCTGCCCGTGCTCTTCTCCATTTCTTGCAGCTCCTGCTCTGCCTCCTCCGTGTGACCTTGTTGCAAACCATCCTGTGATGGTGATATTTCTCAACTATCCTGCCTAGACCTTTGTCCTCTTCTCCCTCAACACATTCCCTGGATATTACTGTTGCTGGAGCTTCTGTCACTGTTCTGTTTTGCTTAAGGACAGACCACACAGATGGTGGTGGTCCCAACAGACAATTCCAGATGCCTAGGTGCATATCATCTGCTGCACCACTCAGGTTTATGTAAATATACTCTGCCATCTGCACAACCATGACATTGCCAAACTACACACATTTCTCAGAACATATGCCTGTTTTTCAGTGACATGTGACTGTAGTAATTATATTGTCAGGAGTTTTAGGTTTCCTTAGGTATGGGGGGTGGGGTGAGGGTGAGGTATTCCTGAATGCGCATTAAGAGCTCTAGAAGTGCACGTTTATATGTAATAACTTAAAATTTGTTTTCATGACTCCCCCAAAATTAACTTACTGATTAGAAGCTAAACACTTTCCAAAATGTACCTCCCACTTAGATTGCTCTCAATGCCTTCAACTGCATTTGGGTATTTCCTCGGTACTTCAAACTTCCCAAGTCCAGCCCTGGACTCATCACCCCTGCAAACTTCCCTCCCCTATCACCATCAAAATAAAACTTGTTGTGCCTCCACTATTCCTATCTTAGTAAAAGATACCAGCCAATCCTCTTCTTAAACCTGGGTAGTTAAAACAGGCTTATTCATTTTATTTTCATTCTTTTAAAATCATACAGATTAATTTCCTTCAGGTTATATTAACACATTATTTCTGATTTCATTTATATTACCAAGTACATTGTAGCAAGTGGAACTTGGAAAATATTTTGTTACTTCCTTTGACTAAGTATCAAAAATTAAGTCCAGTTATTCTTGCTGTTATATGACTAGTCTTTCCAGAGCTGAGCCCAGAATCCAGGCCTCCTAATTCTTATTCTTGTATTTTTTCCCCTAAAACTCACTGTAAGCTAATTCAATTAATTTGAAATGTTTCAGATCAAGCAGCAACCAGGTGATCAGAAATTTATTATAACTCATTCCTCAGAAACATGTTTTTTTTTTGAAAGGAACAATTGGGTAAACATCACTTAAATATCTAAAAAATAATAAGAATATTATTTTCAACAGTCTTCAAAGATAATTTTATTTTTTAAGAATTGGATTGCTGTGTAGAAAAAGCATGTACCACATCCCCTTTTTGGGGTCAGGGAGGGAGTTGAAGGGGATGAAGAAAAAGGGAAAATCTGATATATTTGTTCAGCATGGGTTTGTATTGCCCACTACTCCAGGCCTTTACTTGCACTGCCATCTACTCCTCACCCCAATCCTATTAAGTAATATAGTCATCATTTTACAAATGACTTATTGCAGTTCAACCAGGCTGAGTAACTCAATTAGGGGGATGGCTGGTCTAGGGTCCAACCCCCATGGGCTGACTTGCCAACACGGGTTCCCAAGTATACCACACTCTTACAGGCTCCTGCCTAGCCCCCCATGTGACCAGACTATCTCCTGATGACAGTACCATCCAGGGGAGTACCTGGGATTCTTCTTGAGGTTCGCCCACAAATAAAGAGTAATATTTTCATCCTGAATGACTTTCTCCATGTTCCCACTGTCCAGATCTGCTAAAGTGCTAGCATGCTGTAAGAGAAAAAGACGTTCTAAGAGGCTAGAGTCTTATGGTCAATCATGTCCTCACCGCCTGAGTGCTGGATGCCTCACATAGTTGAGCAATGTGGGCCAAAATAGAAGCTTCACTCAAAATGACACATAATGGTTCTTGAAAATAACCTAAAGGACTCTGCTCCTTGTCTCCTCAGGCAGCACCTAGGAATCCTGGTACCCTAATCTTTTCAATGTTATTAACATTATCACAGCTTTTCATTTGCTCTTTTACCCATACTTGATTCAAATGTAGATTATGCCACTAAAAAATTAGCCCACTTCTGAACAGAATGAGTTTAGAAAACATATCCGCTATATGGAATCAAGATGAGCCCTAGTTTACTAATCCCATTCTGGATATTCAAGATTACATACAATTTATAGATGTTCTAGGAATTTGTAAATATCTGAAGCTAGTCAAATAAAGTTTACTTGGGAATACCAGAAGGACAGCAATCCAGGACAAGCCAAGTATGGAGCCACAGGCAAGTTCAAGGAGGCAGAAGAGATCGGCTTTTATTATTTTTTTAGGAGGACATTGGCAGGGGCTGTTTTGACCAGGGACCAATCAAAGGCATCCCTGACTTGCCCGACCCAGGTTTGAATCAGATTTCCTTTGCTTAGTTTTATAGTTTGCCCAATAAATTAGACTTTTAAAGGTCATATATGGAGGTAGGTATTTGACTATGATGTAAAAGCTTAAAAATACTGAGAATTGAATTTATTGCTAATTTTGTCCCCTGCCCATATTTAATTGTAGTAATATCAAACCAACCATTTACCAATAATTAGGCCTCCAATCACCTGGGATTAAGGAGGCTATATCTTTGGGATCATGGAGTTGTGTTCACTTTGGTGGCTACAAGAAATAGACAAAGCAGCCCCTAGAAGAGAAGACAGTACCCCGCCTGCTGAGCACACCACACCAACTCTTAGTGGTGTTCACAAAGCACACTGGAAAGAGGGAGCCAGCCATCATCAGAAGAGCAATGTATTAATTAGGTGGCCAAGATTGCACAACTGTCACCTCTTCAAAAATGCATTCCATGATCACTCCAAGATGCTGACTTCATCTTCACTGCATCATTTTTTTCCTATATGAAAAACCTTGCTCATTCCTAAGAAATTTAATATATAAATAAATATATATGTCTCTCTGATTTCGCCTATTTATAAAATCTTTGCTCAATTAAAAAAAAAACACAAAACAAAATAAAACAAAGTTTTTCTTTATCAAATACCTTCCCCTGCAATACATTTACCACTATATGCAAAAGATATGGGAGACACAGAATTCATCTTTGCATTCCCTTTCTTTGCTTTAAACAACAGGAAAATGCTGGTGAGGGAGAGGAGACAACTGGAAACAGACGTAAGAACTTAAGCTAACTCTACAGGATCTAAAAAATTAGGTTGGTTAATGTGAATCTATTTAAAAGAAAACATTTGGAGACTCCTTTTCAACAAGCCATACTGCTAAAGTCCCTGTGGGGTGAGGGGGAGGAATTGTTAAGGAAGCAAAATTATTTTCAAGGGCCTCCGGGGTGGCACAGCAGCAGCTGAGCACTGGGCTGCAAAGCTGCCCACAGCCTCTGCAGCGCCGGTTCGATCCCCGGCTGCTCCCCGGCCACCGGAGGAGGGTCCCACATGGCGCGCAGACCTCTCCTGCCGCCCGCTGCTCCCCTCAGCAGTGTATTTCATCAGTCTGCCTGTTCTGTTCCCCACTCTGGCTCTGGTGAATTCTCTCACCCTCCTGTGCTTCTGACTATACCCGTGCTTGTATAAATAAAAAAATATTAAAAAAAAAAGAAATATTAAAAAAAAGGATTAAAAAAAAGGCAGGTTGCTGGTTCTTTATTTAATTGTGGTCATGGCAACAATTCCCATTTCCATAAAACCTCAGTACTATGGCAATATCATGGCATACGAAATTCAAAGTGCCATAGACACAGGGACTGCAGTTTCTGATCACCAACAATGATGCTGGGCAATGTCTGAATGGGGACATTTGCTAAATATGGTCAGATGAATGACACCAAGTGTCAGTTGCACTGTGGTCTTTCTGATTGCTTTCTCCTTGTATTCTTTGACTTGCTCCTCCATCCCCTCTATATTCTGTACACTGGAAGCTGGGTCTAGGTAGATTTCACAGGCTATGTTGTATTCTTATCACATCCTGTCCAAAAGGCATATGAAGTGCCACTATTAGTAATATGGACATTGTCACTTGGTGAAGGTGGTAACCACATTTCCCCATTGTATAGTACATTTTTCTCAATCAGTAAGTAAACTGTGGTTTATCTGAAGCAACCAAAGCATTGGGGATTAAAGTGGTGATCTGCTAGCTGTTTTGCTGCAGTTACCAAGTGGTGTCTTTCAAAAAGAACTGTTCTCCCTTTTTTCTGAACTTCACTATAGACTGAATTATTTATTCAATATGCTGTAATCAGTTCTAGCCATTACTCTCTCTGATTGTCAAATTATCACGCATCTGACCAGAGAGAGCCCCTTTAAGCTAGAACTGCCCTTTCAGATATGGCTCCATCTGTCATTTGTCACTTGCTTTCTAACACAAGATAATACAGTCTCATCTTTCAAATGACTCAGCATCACCATTCACTTTCCCCTTTCAGACCTAGACAGACATTTACCCCAATTGGTTCTGGTTCCTCTTTATGGAATAAAAATAAATATTGTTCACATTTCCATTTCCAATTTAACAGTATAGTATTTTTAACAATCTTTTCTTATATACTTTGTCTTTTCTCTTAAAATGAAAGCCTTGATTACTAATAACTATAATACAAGTCCTTACTTGCTTTTCCTTACAACAGTTGCATAATTATAAAATGAATGTTATTGCTAATAATAAACTTAATGACATTTAAGCCTTCTTTGCAGTTTTTTGTAATAAGAACATATTCTTCACCAAAGTTAGATTTTAAAAAAACAAAACAAATGGTGAAATAACCAAAAGCAAGATGTGATCCATAGACTGTATTCTGATTTAAAAAAAAAAAGAGAGATGAAAAATATTTGTGAACTGTCAGAGAAATGTAAATTTGAACAGGCTAATAGAATGCACTGGGAATTATTAATTTTCTTGGCTATCATACAAGTTTTTGGTTATTTGGAAATTATTAGATAAAACAGGGACTACCAATAATGGTAATCTGTATCAATTGATTTATTTAGACTAAATATCTAACATATAATGTTATATGAATTTATTTTCATAGTAATAATCCTAGTGAAGTGGCTTAGAACACACCTCCCCAAAACATGCCCTTTTTGGCACATGGATTATTTTGAGCTGAAGGCAGTCACACAAAGGTGACTCAAGGGCAATTTCTAACTCTCCTTAATTGCCTAGAAGAGTTGACCTGGTACAGCAGGAGAGTGATTCCCACTCAGCAGGACAAACATCCAATTACCAAGCACCTGCTTTCCCTGCTCTGCTGAAGCCCCAGGCACCATCCACCCCGAAGCTGGAGGGAAATGGCTTAGAAGGCTCAGTTGTGTGACTTCTTGTGGGTCGCCATGTCTTTGGAGCTCCCTAGTTATGAAATTAAATGTTTTTCTCCATTTGTATGAATCCAGCCACAGAATGTACATTGGTGGGAGAAAATACTTTCCTCACCTAAACTAACAAACCTTAGCAAGTGTAAGAAACAAACTAAAATTTAATTAAATGAGTGATATCTCCTTAAAAATATTTAGTTTAAATCTTGATAAATATATGTACCTTAGTCTGACTTTTTCCGTAGCCTTTTAATTTTTCAAAATAAAATATACTAGATTTGACTATATAGGATAAAACTTTAACTCTTAATGAAAGTTAGTAACAGATAAGCAAAAAAAAAAAAAAAAATCACTTACTCTGAGAAGAATTTCTGTGGCGATATTAAACTTAAAATGAAGCAGCTCCTGCAGTTCTAGAATTGATCCTTGGTACTGGATTATATTTTCATTTTGCAAATCATATTGTGGCGTATCCAACAAAACATATTTCAATTTCTCAATTAACTATAAAGTAAAAGAATATTTATCTTAGTCTTCTGACAACAAGGGGAAAAAGGACTGATCGATCACTTCTGAAGTGAGGGACACATCATCAACAGAACATAAAAATCCTTTCCTGTATTTATTTGGTAGTTTAAGAATATTTCTTCCAATAACTCCATTAGAATTCTCAAGTAAGTGTAACTGAGTTTTCACTAGCAAGTTACAGATGATGTACAGCTTGTCATTAACTAAGACTGAAGAATAATAAAACAGTAAAATGAAAACAAGGAGGAGGATTTATTAATATTTACTAAATGTTTATTATATGCCAAGAACTGTTCCATATGCATTATTTTAGTTCATTTAATTCTCATCAGAAATCTATAAGGCAGACATCGCTATTATGCCTATTTTACAGATGAGGAAACAGGCATGACCAGTTCCAACTGGAAGGGGGTTTGGAAGCCACCACTGTCGCAACAACAGATAAAAAGCTAAAGACACTAGAAAATCAACAACTTTTCTTAGAGGCATAAAAGCGGGGAGGACACAAGGCAAAGCACTGCCCCTGAAGGTGGAGAGGCCTCAGTAAAGATAGGAGTCTGCTTACCTTTAGTGGGCAGGGCGAACACAAATCACAGGAAAGAACCAGGCAAGTGGGGAAGCCTGAAGAGTGAAGGCTTTGTTGGAGGCTCAGAGTGGACAGCTGGAGAGGAAGGAATGCCAGGAGGATGCTGCCATAGATGGGGAAGCTCATACCACTGGGAAACAACTCCATGAGCCCAGGCTCAGTCAGGTTCCCACAATAAATAGGAGATTAAAATCCCCTCAAGCTTCCAGCAGGGGGCAGGGACAACACTGTTGTTGCCAAGGCCTACCCTCAGGAGAAACTAATTAACCGGGGCCTAACAGACCCTGAGAAGGGAAGAAGCCTCCCTCTCTCACTCCTTTCTTGTTTTTATTTGGCAGTTTAAGAATATTTCTTCCAAAAACTCTGCTTAAGAGGGAGCAGGAAATGCTCGGGAAGATGGTGAGTTCATAGTGCAGAAGCAGAGGTTTACTATAAGACTGACCTACTCCAGGGCTGGGGAAGGTCTCCCTCCCCCATGCCCCACACCAGAAGCCTATTTACCATGGGTCCTTCTACCCAGCATATTAAGTCTGGTTGAAGAAAAAATTACTAAAGCATACCAAAAGGTTAAACAAAAAAAACCACAACTATAAGAGAGAGCACTAGCATTAGAACCACACGTGGCAGGGATATTGGGGTGACCAGACCAGGAATTAACACCACCTAGGAGTCTAGTCCCTCTGTAGATACGGTACACAGTGTGCAAGAAGCAAGCAGCAATGAGAGCCCACAGAGGGGAATTCCAAGGGGAAACACACACACACACACACACACACACACACAGAGGAATTCCAAGGGGGGGGAGGGAGGGAGAGAGAGGGAGAAACAGGGAGCGAGAGAGGGAGGGGGGAGGCGGAGGGGGAGGGAGAGAGGGAGGCTAGAGATCAAAACGCCCTCACAGATGAAGAATGATTTGAGGGGCTTCCTTGTACATTGGACTCAGCTGTGGAAAATCCTGACACTAGAGAGTATCTCAGTAGAATCCTTGAGAACAAAAGAATAAAGACACCAAATACTGGAGAAAGGAAAAAAAGCCCAGGACAAAATATCAAAAATTGTGGGAAAACTACAAGAGGTAGAATGCACACACTGGGAATTCCAGCAGGACCAGGAAAGGGGAAAGGAACAGAAGAAGTATTTGAAAGATTAATGACTAAGAATTTGCCTCAAGTTCGTGTCAATCACTAAACCACAGAGAATATAACAAGCAGGATGAATGGGAAATAAAATACATTTAGCTATATGATTTACTAATGAGAGAAATCAAAGATAAACTCCTGAGGAAAGCCAAAGGAAAGAAAAACCCCTATATCTTTAGAGGAACAGAGCTAATAAAAACAGGCACCTGCCCAGGGACCATGCAGGCTAAGAAGTGAGAAAAGAGATACTTGATTTGTTGGGAGAAACTGCGGCAAAGCATGATCCAGGAACGACGCGTAAATGGTAGAATTGAGTTCTGAACACCCACTTAGATCATACAGAGAACATCTCTACGTTAAGAGAGGTGGCACTGTCTCTGTGTTGAGAGGGACTCAGGTCCACTTTTCCACCACTCGGACACTGGCCTTCAATCCTCCCCACTCTTACCAGAATGCAATGGGGCTGGTTATCTAACACCGCTGGGCCTCAGTGTCTTCATTTGTAAAATAGGGGTAACAACGCCTACCTCATAGGATTATTTTGAGAATTGAGCAAGTTACTATTTCTGATGCTTTGGCACAATAAACATTATCTAAAAGTTTGTCAAATAAATTGGATCATTTGGAACCTGGTGTTTACCAGGGGGTCAAATTCTTTCTGTTCCTCTTATGGGTTCCTGTTCTAGTTTCATGATGTTGGAACTCATCTCTTCTGGTTCCTGTTTGTTTTATTTATCCTCTTCCCTTCTTCCCTTTTACTTACTGCTTCTTCTACACCCCCTTCCTAACAGTTCCAGTTGCAGCTCACTGCAGGTGAACCCTAGATCTACTTCTGCCCAGGGCCAACACCAGCCCCAGGCCACGTCACCTCCCTGGGGGAGATGTGCAACAGCAAGAACACTGTGTGACCAATCCATTGGCGTCCAGATGCTCGCAGGGCAGGAGGGCTCCCTGGAGCTGCTGGAAAGTCAGAGAAAGGCCCCCCCTTGGGTCTTGAGGGACCACAAGCAAGGCACAGCCTAGGTTTCTGCATGTGTAAAATGAGGTTCAGAAGTTTTGCATTCAGATTAAAGTAGGCAACGCAGGCTCTGAACCCAGAGTCAACTTCATAACAATACGGAGAAGTAAATCATGGCGAGGAGACACACAAAAACATGGTTAGGAAATGGAACCAAAAATGAAAAATGATGTAAAAAATATATAAAATAAAAAAAAATAAATAAATTGTAAAAAGAAGTAAGAATTATGAAGCTCAAAATGTTTTCATGTTTCTACTTGCAAAATCAATGCCTAGAATCTTATTCTGCAATAAACTGATTTTAACATAAAAAAAAGCATCGGAGGACAATAGGGAGGGGAGGAATGGATTCTTTCTAGTTTCTACCATTATGGAGGTGTGTCTAAGTGGGGATTTCTTTCTATTTATCCTAACTCGGCATTTGTTCTTAGATCTGAGAGTTCTTATCTTTCCTCAATTCTGCAGAATTTTTAGCCATTGTCTTTTTGGGCATTGTTTCTCCCTCATTCTTATGTATCTCCCTCTGGGACTTCTTTTTAATCTATTTTGATCCCTTCTTGCTCTGTCATCCATGTCTATTAACTGCTCTTTCAAATTTCACAGATTGAAATGCATTGTATTTTGGTAAATTCTTCTAATCCAACTTTGGACTGATATGTAATTAAGAGTTCTCAGTGGGGATGACTTTGTTTTCCCTTCACTGAGTTTAACAATGAGCCAAACAAGTCCTTCTCATCACCATTTGCAGAGTATGTTTTCCCCCTATTCTCTTCAATACCTTTCTGAGGCTCCCAGTCATACACAAGGCCTGTGAGGTAACTTGCCTCCTGACAGCCCTTTAAACTGGTGCTAAGTCAGGAAGGGTAGGTGAATCGATACTCTGGGAAATTGGTGACTCCAAGACTTGCAGGCTTTCTGAATTGCTTTATGGCTCCCAAGATCTCCCCTACTTCCTTTGAGCTAAGTAGTGGATTCAAATGTCATTCTTTTTTTTTTCTAAATTCATTGTAAAATGGTAGCCCCTCGAGCTAGCCTATCCACCCTGTTTGCAGAAATAGAAAGTAGAATATTCTTATTCATCTTTGTACTTCTGGTGCCTTTATTTATTTATTTTTTAAAAGATTTATTTATCTATTTATTTATTTATACAAGCACTGGGTACAGTCAGAAGCATGGGAGGGTGAGAGAATTCACCAGAGCCAGAGCGGGGAGCAGAGCAGGCAGAAGGTCCGAAGTACACTGCTGAGGGGAGCAGCGGGGGGCAGGAGAGGTCTGCATGCCATGCGGGACCCTCCTGCAGTGGCCAGGGAGCAGCCGGGGATCGAACCGGTGCTACAGAGGCTGCGGGCATCTTTGCAACCCAGCGCTCAACCGCTGCGCCACCGGGGAGGCCCTTCTGGTGCCTTTAAAAGAGTAAGTATCTAGCACATAGTTAACATTAAAAAACATGGGAAGCAAATCACTGGACAGTGGATAATTCCAGCTGAGGATAAAATCATGTGTTCTCCCCCATATTATTTAGATAATGAATACACATTTGTTTTCTTTCACTTAAATTAGATACACATACAGTTAATATTTCACATTTATGTCCTGTGGATCTTACCTAAGATGACAAGTGTGTTTTAGGAGATGTAAAAGTTAAAAAGAAAACAAAAGGATTAGCAAATAATTTTCTCTGTAGCCAAGGAAGCTGTAGTGCTATTAATTGGCAAGTGTTACATTTACTTTGAATTTTAGAGTTAATATCAATTTGTAATTTAAGTAAATTAAAATATTAAATTCTCAAGTACTTACATGTAGCACAAGTTTACTCTTCTGAATAACTTCCTCAAAAGTCTCATTTGTTTCCTCTTTCCACAAACTAATAAAAGTATTAATTTCCTGGGCTATTGAAGGATCAGGACTTCCATCACATTGGAGGTAGTGGTTCCACTGTGGAAAAAAAGGTTTGAAGGTTCATTCTGATGAAAATTCAGCCAAAGATTAAATTATTTCTTTTTTGAATTGTGAATTCTCAGAATCCCAATTTAGGTTAAAAAAGAAAATCTTACTATGATTTTACTAGTTACTTGAGATATTTAAAATAACCAAATCCCTCTTTGTCAAAAATTTGATTACCTCACTGTAGAGTAAATGATTGTCAGGCTTTTCTGCCCTCCCGCCATTAGGATTAATGATGGATCCCTGCGGTCCTGAATCATGACTGATGTTTGAATTAGTTTTTGCTTTCCTTTATAATGATACAACTCCAATTTATTTGCAAAGACTAATGCTTGGGTTAATTTCTGTTTCTTAAATCATAACTAATTGTTCATCATCAGCACTGGCATTTGAGCATGAACCCTTCTATATTTTGTAATCTATGCAAATTCTACATTTGTAATGATAACTGTACTTAAATTTTTCCTTAGAATTATAATTACTCATATTTCCATATAATTAGTATAGTTTTCCTTTTTCTGCTGATAATCACCAATATTGCCCAAAGTTATACTATTTTGAGTGATACTTGATTGCATTAAATTCACGTTTTATATTTTAAGATCATTTCTTCAGTATTATTTCTCAAATATTAAATATCATGGGGTATAAAAACTTCAAAGACTTACCGTTGACAAACAACTTACCACAAAGCTAGGTCACTTTAACTTGTTACAAGCAGCATGAGAGCTTTGCCAGATTAGAGATTTTTTTATAGATAGATTGACGGTTCTTGGAATTAAGATGGCTATCAGACTACAGCACCCTCTTGTGGTAGCAAAGTATTAACTCGTGAGGAAAAGACCGTCTCACCTGAGACAGCAATCTGATGTTTTCTTTTATTTTCGCTGCTTCAGGGAAAACCATCTCTAGTAAAGCAAGTTCTTCAAGTTCTTCTTTTCTCCTTCCTAGATCCTATTTCACAAGGACAGATTCATTGATGTGCTTTTGAATTCTAGTTTTGCCTTTCACAATTAGCATCTGAAATGTACTTGACAAAGTATTTTCAAAACTAATACAAAAATTAGTTTGAATGTAACTGATATTTCCAAAGGTTTCATCTGAAACAGTGGCTTGCAAGGTGCATCTGCTAATTCATGATGGGTCCGCAGGACTCTTTCAGGATATGTGAGGTCAAATCTATTTTCAAAATAATACTGAGACCTCATTTGCCTTTTCCACGGAGTTCACATTTACACAGATAAACACTTAGTAGAAATTAAGGCATAAAACTACTAGGGAAGTGATCTTGGAGTTTCACCTAAGTTTGACTTGACAACAAAACAAAAATTATTAATTTTATTTGCCCTCATTCCTTAAGCGTATTTCTTTTTGATATTCTGTGTGATAAAGTGGGAAGCATGTGCAAAGCACTTCGGTTGTCTATCAACAGACAACACTGACTTAAGAGATACACACCTCTGCAATTATTTGAGTATTTTGGCTGACATTCTCTCAAAAATGAATGAAGTCAGTATGTCACTTCCAGGAAACAACTCAAAAGTACTTGTAGCTAATGATAAAGTTCAAGCTTTCAAAATAAAAATGAAAATTTTAGAAAACTCGTATCTACCACTTGTAAGTTTGGCAGTTTCCCAGTCCTTTAAAAACTTTTCTGATTTGAAGAGGATAATAGAATGTGAGATTTTTTTTTAAATAATGAATAATAAAAATGTGTTAACATTTAGAAGCAAATAATCCAGTGAAACAAATTTTCCCAAGCAATCAATGTATGGTATTATAAAATTGTGCCTGGATACAGATTAATTCAGATCATTGTTTCCATGTAACAGAGTCTTAAAGCTTCTTTGATAAGCTTTCAGATTGCACCTCAAGAAACCACCACTTAACTGAGTTTGGATCTGTCATCAAATAGATCATCCAAAATTATCTGAAAGGCTATTATATTATTTCTTCCTTTTCTAACTACCTCCTGTGTGAGGACAGATTTTCTTCTTTTATTCCATCAAAACAACATACTGCCACAGATGAAATTCTGAAATATGACTCCAATAGTCTTCTGTTAAGACAGACATTAAAGAGATTTTAAAAAATTAATTCTACTCATTACCCTAATGAAAGAAGTTATTTTTTTCTTAAAAATGTTGATTTACTTATTGTTGCTAATGTTTATTTTTAAGAATGTTCAATATTTATTAATATAATGTGTTTCAAAACTCAGTTTCAATTTCTAATGTGTACATATCAACAGATGAAAATCACATAAGCAAAAGCTCCCTGTAGGGAGCCATAACTTCAATTTTTGATAGTTAATGGGCTTTTGTCCAGTGATCCAAATATTTCAGAACTAATGATCTAAAATTTTCAGATGAAAAAGAGAGGCAAAACTTAAAAAAAAAAAGGTAGAATTTGGATTTTGTGTTTCGGTCCCCATTAAACTGTCTATAAAGCAGATTGGAAACCCTAACTTAATAACAACAAGCTTGTTTTTACCTGAGTCCTGGCTCTGCAACTTATATGCTGCTTATTTTCTCTATTCCTCACTTTCCTTATCATGAAATGAGGATAATGTCATGGGAGTAAGACCAGTTCATACAAGCCTAAATATTACTGTTAACTATAGGTTGAGAATTACATTAACTGATCAAACAGATCTGAGAGGTACAGAGCTTCATTCCTCATTAGGAATATCATTGTTTATTTACTTTTTCTTCAAGTTTTTGCCATTTTTCTTTCTCAATTCGTTGTATCTCAAGCTTTTCCATTTCTTCTCTTTCACATTTCACACGGAGTTCCTCTAAAGAGCAACAGAAGATAATTTCTACATGATTAAATCATTCCATTCTTAAGCCCTTACAGTTTCCTCAAATTTTTTAAAAACTTAGTGGTGGTGAAAGATTGTATAGAAGTCACAACCTTTATAATGAAATGAACAAAGTGCTGGATTGCTTCTAAAAAATAATGATTCTCAAACTTCCTGCCCCTCCCCTCAGAATGGGCCCACAATATCATCTCTCCTCTCTAAAATAGTTATGATGATCCAATGATTTTAACTAATGAAAAGTAACAGGTCAATCATGGGTAACTAAAGGGAGATAAAATCTTCAGACTATCTGCATGATCACAAACAATTGCCTTAATCCTCTCTTGCTCTCATGATTAAAATCAAAATGTGAAATATAAGTTGAAGAATAGGTTTCATCAAATAAAATAAAAAATTCGCAAAATACAGATTCTGATATTGTACTTTTCTTGTGAGTCTCCTAAAAAGGATTCTGATGATTATACACAAAAAATAAAAATGGAACCTGATGAGATAATTAAAACGTGAACCTGAATCCACAGACGTTCTCCCTAGTGCTAAAAGCTATAACCACTGAAATATTTAGATTTCTAAAATCAAATCTAAATTTCTAAAATACTTTGATTGATTTTAATTGACTTTGTTTAACAAAGGAAAGTCCTCTTTAAATTTGGTAAATACATATTATTCACATATAAGAACCTAGTTACTGTGTGGAATTCTTGCTTATATAGATTTCTCATTTTAAGGAATTTGACTTTTAGAATTCTTACTGCACAATCAGTACCAAAACCCCTATCTTTATCAATTAAATATAAACACTTCAAGATATGGTTAACAGAATCAGCAAATAAAACAGTTAAAAAACATGTTTAGATACAATATATAATACAATTAAGTTTAAAATACATGTTTTTAAAAGTGGTTGAATTTGAATTTCAGATAATGAACTTTTTTGTATGTGTAATTTAAAAGTGTATCCCAAATATTGCATTGGGCAAATGATCTAGTTTATCTGAAATTACAGGGCAGCCTGTATTTGATCTGGCAACCTTATTTCAAGATAGATCTGAAGGTGATAGATGTACTAACAGGACATTCTGGGTACTCTTCAAGTATTTGAGAAGAGACCGAATTACAGAAATACCAACCTATTGCTAGAATTACAGATAGAAAAGGGGGACCAAGGAATTGTGTACCTTCCTCTTTCCGTCTCCTCTCCTCCTCCTCTTGTTGCATTCTCAGACGTTCTGCTTTGGTGATTTTATTTTTCTTGCCAGGCTTACAAAGGTAGCACATAAAAATAAATAAATAAAGGCAATGGCCATGTACCCAAATTACTTTAAAACACACATCGCTCAAACAGTAATTATGAAAAAACACTTTTGGGTCCGTGAAGCTAGTCTTTCACTCATTCAAATGAAACTCCCTCCTATGTGCAAGGCATTAACTCAGCACACAGAAGGCACCATATAGAAATAAAAATAAGTAGATAAATTATTCAAAGAGTGGCAATGACAAGTATATACCATTCAAATAATTCTCATTCCCAATTTGCATGTGTTTTAAATGATGCTACACAGAATGTTTCATTGTTGTGTAGATTATAATAACATACATGTAAAGACAGCTTCAAGCTGCTACATCTGTGTAAATGGTAAAGGAATTTTTATGAATAATATATAAAGATACATAGAGAGTTATTCTCCCAGCTTGGAGGAGGGAGGGATTACCTTCAATAGCTGGAATCAAGTACAATTTTTACAGAGCAGGCTGTATGTGAGTTGGTTCCTAAAAGATTTTAACATTTAGATACAAGGGAAAGATGTCCCACCAACAGGAAAATGTGAGTGTAAGGTCCACTGGGGGGCCAGGGCCAGATAAGGTCAGTGGACAGTGGGATCCTGGGATGACTAAGTTTTTAAATGATTTATTCACATATCTCCTAAAGAATTTTGAAAAACCCTGTGCCCCTTAACACATTTTCAGTTGCCATTCAGAACTTTTACAGCAAGGTGAATAGCTGAAAAGCTTGCTCTCTCCAGTAGAAGACATAGGAGATAAAACTTTTATGTCACTTTTTGAATACAGCTATCATGATTTAAAATAAGTCCAATGGAATCTACAGACTGGAGCAATTTAAAAGGATATGAATGAGCTTTTCTTTAATAAAAATTTCAATCCTTTTCCTCTTTGAACTCATATTTCCATTCCACTTTCCTCACAGAATCTTATCCTAATGGAATACTTGAAAAAAATTTTATTGAGCCTCTTTAACTGCTACAAATACATACACGAACACTTAAAATTTTTACTTCTTTGACTCTACGACAGAGAAAGGCCTGTATGATGTTGCTTACATGTGGAACCTAAAAAAGCAAAACTTAATAGAAACACACAGTAGGACTGGGGTTGGGGGCTAAACAGATGTTGGACAAAGAGTGCAAACTTCTAGTCATAAGATGAATAAGCTCTAGAGAACTAATGTCCGGCATGGCAACCACAGCTAACAATACTGTGCTATATACAGGAAGTTTGCTAAGACAGTGGACTAAGTGACCAAGTTAACAATACTGTGAGATGGTCAGAGGGTTGCTAAGATGGTAGATCACATACAAAATGGTAATTACATATGAGGTAAAGGATGTGTTCAGTAACATATAGGTGGTAATGGTTTCACAATATACATAAATATCAAGTTGTCACATTGTACACTTTAAACTCACACAGTGTTACCTGCCAATGCCATCACAATAAAGCTAAAAAAAAAAAAATGAATGTAAGCTTTACATGGGCAGGGACTTTGTCTTGAACACCACTAAATTTATAAAATATTCTTCCATATCTTTGCAAGGCCTTCTATATAAAGGTCTTCATTCCTCCCTAGTTTGTGATAAAAAAAAGAGCAGGGACAACATAAAATCATACATACTTTCAATGGAGTACGATGCAGTGATGTAATCTCAATGTGCCAGCACAAACAGGTCCCCAAGATACACTTGCCCCATTGAATCTACCACACCATTGATGTAAGATGCACCTTTAAATTATTACTACCAAACAAGGCGATAAGCCCAAGATGGGCGTCTAACAGGAGACACCTGTATCAAGTTGGTTATAATGTAATGAACCCACAACATAGAAAGTTATTGTCAGGAAATCTGCAATCTCAATCCTGAAAATTTAAATCACAAACTAGTTCATAAGGTTTTTCAGTCTGACTCACACCATTATTGCGGTTCCAAAACACTCAAGATGAGAATTTAAAATAATATCAAAAAATTAAGTAATATCAAGTTGGTGTAAGCCCAAGTGACTGACAGACACACACACCCTTCTCTGGAGGAAATGGATGTCAATGCAAGACTACAATGATTATAAGACACTACAAACTGTAAGAAAGATCAGGATTTCAGCAGTGTTAATATGTAACAGGATGAGTAAAATAGAGTAAAACAGAAGGTATGAAATGTTCCTAAGTATTGAGGACACAAGGTAAGGGTATGTGCGTGTGTATTTTAAAGCTTACAAAATATATGAAAAAAAAAAAATCAATGGTTTTTCCAGTTTTGGGTAGGAGGAAATTTTCCATTTTTTATGCTATTTTAATTTTGTTTGATGAGCATTTATTATTTTTCTTTTAAAAAAATCTTTTTAAAGAGTCAAAAAGAATGTCTCTTTTTTATTTTCCTTTACTGTAAATTCCCTTTACAGACTCGCCTCATTCCTAAACCATAATCTTTCAGAATGGAGTAATTTTAAAATGAGTGATTTCCCTTGTGTTTCCTTTCAAACATCATAGGCTGAATCTCACAATTCTGTTTGGGAAACAACACTATAAACAAAATAATCCCAGACCACTATCTGTGCTCATGAATACACAGAGTTAAGTACAAAGTCATTTGGAGCAATGAGTTTTCGTATATAAATTTGTCTGAGGTTACACAATTAAGGCAGAAAATAAACCAATCAACGACTGTAAACCCACATTAAAAATGGTTGTAGCTCTCTTGGGCCTCCCCTGGTGACGCAGCAGTTGAGCGCTGGGCTGTGAAGCTGCCCCCAGCCTCTGCAGCGCCGGTTCAATCCCCAGCTGCCGGCGAAGGTCCCACATGGTGCGCAGACCTCTCCTGTCTCACCTGCTGCTCCCCTCAGCAGTGTACTTCCTCAGTCTGCCAGTTCTGTTCCCCTCTCTCTCTCTCTGGTGAATTCGCTCACCCTCCCGTGCTTCTGACTGTACCCAGTGCTTGTATAAATAAATAAATACATCTTTAAAAAAAAAAATGGTTGTAGCTCTCTTGAATACCTGCCCTATAAGATGTGTGCAAAACCTTCATAAATTTTGTTCAGCCATATCCACAGCCCCTAAAAACAGTATCAGGTTGGTAGTGAATCCAAATAACTAAGAGAAGCAAACATAGAAGATAGAAGGCAATCAATAGGATTTCTCAAAGAAATGTTTAATTGTATACATATTGAATATGTTACTACAGGCATTTCTGCCAAAAAATGAAAAACGCACATCTTTTTAAGTGGTGGTAGGATAAATGGGTTTCCCGTATTCAGTCAAGAAATACTGACTGAACTTCTATGTGCCCGGCACTTTGCTATGGACAGAAAAATAAACGACATGCTAGTGCCTCCCAACAGCTCACCATTGTAAAGTATTACAATAAAATGAGTTATAACTGGGGTGTGTAAAAATGCATGTGCTATAAGAACACGGAGCATACAGTACGGCCTTCCTCACATAACGTCCTCATTGGTTCTTGGAGCTACAACTTCAGCTGAAATTGGAGTTTCCTGGTGCAGCTGAGCCCCGCATTTCCAGGCCCTCGGCCACCCAAACAGGGCACAAACCTTGCCCACCAGCATAAGGGCCTGGATTCTGCCCCTCCATGTCTAGACCACTCAGGGCAGCATGGAAAATGCCTGCCCAGAGTGTGGTCTTAACTCCGCCCCTGATTTCCTAAGTGTGGGGGCTGCTGGGGAATGGGCAGAGTTGAGGGCCATTTGGGGAGCTGTTAGCTGGGAGTGATAGACGTGGGCTGAGTCTTTACCTCATCAGGGCTGCTGCTGAAGGCTCTGATGAGCCAGTGGCCATGTGCTCCCCTCTCCCACTGTTTGCAGGGCCAGTATTACTAAGTTTCCAACTTTTCAAGGATAAATGAAAATCACATTTTTGTGTGAGAATAGTTTGCAAACTGATTTTTAAAAACATCTTAGATCAAACAATATGTCTTCAGGCTAAATCTGACTTGTCAATCAAAAGATTATAATTTTTGGGCCTCCACAGTGGCGCAGCGGTTGAGTGCTGGGTTGCGAAGCTACCCGCAGCCTCTGCAGCGCCGGTTCGATCCCTGGCCAGCGGCGAGGGTGCCACATGGTGCCAGACCTCTCCTGTTTGCTGCTCCCCTCAGCAGTGTACTTGGTCAGTCAGCCTGCTCTGCTCTCTGCTCTGACTCTGGTGAATTCTCTCACCCTCCCACGCTTCTGACTGTACCCAGTGCTTGTATAAATAAATAAATAAATCTTAAAAAAAAAGATTATAATTCTTGTGTCAACGTGACAGAAAAAGGCATTCTATACCTAAATTTGTGCAATGTACCCTCCCTCTCCCCCAATCAACTAGTTGTTACCATGTGATAAATAAGAGAAAAATGCGCGTGGAGCCATCCCAAAAGGGCGAGGTCCAAGGCACCAGGCAAGTGCAGGCAGCCAGGCATGTTGGTGCATGCACAGTTCTGTCCACAGCATAGAAGAAAACGAAATCTCTAGCTAACCAGAACCATCGATGAAACCCTCATTTGCATAGAGGGCCCAGCCCCGCCCCTTTTGCCTTTATAATCATGAGCCCCAGCTTGCTCCTTGGGCAGGAGCTCAAGAACTCCTTCTGTCTGTATTGCCTAGACCTGCAGTCCCAAAGTCCCATATAAATGTTGGCTGCAATACTCGAGCTGTAACCCGTCTGCTGAAACTCAACTAGACTTAAATACAGGTGGACAACGCAACCATTTAAAGACATTGTCTTAGGGACCACTTTAAAGTCACAGCAGGTTTTGTCACTAGATTTTTAAGCGTATGGAATGAAAAAAAGGGGTTCCTGATCCAACATTTTCTACAGCACAAGTAATAAAAAGTCTCAAATCTAGTCACGAGTAAAAATTAAAGGTTATTTTTAGACCTTTGTGAAACCAGAACCATCTTTTTATGTCAAATGTGAAATATGCCCTGTTACTCTAAACGATTATTTCATAATTTAAATAGCATTAACACCTAAAAAGTACGATTAGTAAACTATAAACTACAACAAAATAACTAGAAAAATGTCTAAAAATTCTTTTGATACAATGTCAGTGCTTATAAACTATTTTGAGAATTTCTACCTACCTTTTTTGCTTTGGGACCCTAAAAATTGGAAAGATAAAAGAATTGATAAGTTTAAAAATAATTCAAATACTTTTAGCAAAAGTAATATAATGATGTAAGATAATAAAATTAGGAGAATTTGGGTAAAGAATCTAGGAGACCTCTTTATACCATCTTTGCAACTTTTCTGTAAATCTAAAATTATCTTAAAATAAAAAGTATTTCAAAAAAGAATTCAGACAAAACTACAAGCAAGTATAGGAAAAACTAGCTAATTCACCCGCTGGAGACATCCGTTATAAGTAAATTTTACACTCTTTCTGATACCAACCACTCCTGATCCATGTTTAACAAAGTGCCTAAATCACCAGTTAAGAAGTCACTAGTTGGGCCTCCCCGGTGCCGCAGCAGTTGAGCGCTGGGTTGTGAAGCTGCCAGCAGCCTCTGCAGCGCCGGTTGAGTCCCCGGCCACGTGAGGGTCCCACATGGTGCCCAGACCTCTCCTGCCGCCCACTGCTCCCCTCAGCAGTGTATTTCGTTAGTCAGTCTGTTCTGCTCCCCGCTCTGACTCTGGTGAATTGTCTCACTCTCCCATGCTTCTGACTGTACCCAGTGCTTGTATAAATAAATAAATAAATCTTTTTTTAAAAAAAAAAAGTCACTAGTTTAAAATGTTCCAAAAACTAAGAAATTATTGGCTAAATATTGGTATTAATGTCAAATTTAAAAGTGTGGGAATGACCTCATAAAGAAATTATCTTACAGTAATATAAAACTGCTGACTTTACAGAAAACAAATCAGGTTATAGAAATGATTCTATTTAGCAATATGTCTTAAAGCAGATTTATTCTTTCCTGGAAATCATTTTGTTAAGAGCGGTATTTCAATATTTACAAGCATTTTTCAAAATATTACTTATAATATGTAGTTAGGCCCATGTGTTCAAAAGATTTCTGGTAAGGAATTTGTAGGAAACAATGTAATTTTATACACTTTCCATCCACATTTGAAGCTACACATGAGAAAAACTAGTTTAAGCCTTAAGATTTTATGAAATATAAATGCTAAAGTTGACACAAACAGTAGATTGTGTCTTCTTGAAAAGTATGTACATTTTTTCCAGCATGTTTTTATTCAGATATTTATTAATGAGTTCCATACAAGGGATTTAGTCATTAAAAATGAAGATAACAGACTGCTGTTACATCATTTTTACTAATGGGCTCTAGTTTTATTACTATATTTACTATCAGTTAATAGTTAACATCCTTCCATTTTGAAATAACTACTTTACAGTACTATGCAGCAGAATATGTAAATAACATTATTCCTGTTCTCAAATAGCCCCATTTTAAAGTATCTTTGAAGATTGTCATCTTTTACTAACACTGCTAATGAGAAGCAGGCTGGAGCTAAGCACATATCCTCACCCTTCTGCAAATCGTAAGAACATTATTTAGCACAGTAGCGCTCAAAGTTCAGAGGGTATAAAAATCACCTAGGGTGCTTGTTAAAAATGTATATTCCTGGACCAAAAATTTCTGTGTCCCCATTGTGACTGTAAATATTTTGGGGTTGAATTGTGTCCCCTCAAAATTCATACCTAGAAGTCTTTAGACATCAACACCTCAAAAATTTACCTTATTTTGAAATAGGGTTGCTATTAATGTAATCAGTTATATTAAGATGAGGTTCTATTGAAATAGAGTGGTCTCTGATTCAATCTGACTGGTGTCCTTACAAAAAGGAGGTATTTGGACACAGGGGCACACAGGAAGAGCGCCATGTGGAGAATAACAAACTTTTATCATATGTCAAGAAACTACCCGGTCTAGAAGGGATCTGAATAGACTCCTCCTCAGTCACTGCAAAGGGACCATAGCTCTGCTGGAACATGACACCATGATTTTGGACTTCTAGTCTCCAGAACTGTGAAAGAATACATTTCTATGATTTAAGCCACCTAGTTTGTGGTACTTCGTTGCTTGGCAGTTTGAGGAAGCTAACACAGTAAATCTGGAGTCTGCTCTGTTCCTGGAATCTGTATTTCAACAAGCACCCCACGTGCGGTAAAAGCAAATGTTCCAGGAACACAAATTGAGAAACACTGCAAAGAGGGTTTTAAGAAGAAACTTACGTACCCATTAGAAAGTAACAAATAGATGCTTAATGTTTCCGCAATTTTAAATCCATTCAGCAGTTTTAATTCCGTTCAAAGTCCATTCATTCCCTTTTTTCTGTTAGGGAATGCTCCACTCCCTTTTTATTCCCAGTTCCATGGTAAACTTATATCCAAACTTCAAAACACAGTCTGAAAAGCCCTTCACTTCCTGCACCCCCACCCACCTCAACTTCCTCTCGTTCCCTGGTAGATGCTTCAACTGTTGCAGTCACACAGCTGTATTGCAAGAAATGTTTAATGTGTCTCTCAAAGGCAGGAGGGGTTATGATAATCATCTTCGTATTCTTGGCTTCCAGCACTGTGACAAGAACAAAGAATGCACTCCATATGTTCCCTTAATTGAGGAATTAAATCTATAACAAATTATATTTTCCACCTCCCAGGACTTTAGTCGTAGATGACTGAAAGCACATTTAGGAAAATGGGAGAAGAGCGGATGGCGAGTGTACTTTAGACATGGTATTGGGGCCTCCTTGGTGGCGCAGCCGGTTGAGCGCAGCGCTGTAAAGCTGTCCGCAGCCTCTGCAGCGCCGGTTTGAGTCCCAGCCGGCCAGGGAGATACCCACACGACGCGGCAGACCTCTCCTGTCTTGCCCTCTGCTCCACTCAGCAGTGTATTTCATCAGTCTGCCTGTTCTGCTCCCCACTCTGTCTCTGGTGGATCCTCTCACCCTCCAGCGCCTCTTGCCTGTACCCCAGTGCTTGTATAAATAAATAAATCTTCAAAAAAAAAAAAAAAGGGACATGGCAACGGCAGTTAAACAAAATGAAAAGCTTTACTGTGTTTAGTAATTCAGGGCAGGGTGAGTACCCTGAATCACAATGAAATTCACATCTCCACAAAAAACCACCTAAAATAACTTCAAAGCAGAGTGAACAAAAAACACACTTGTGCCAAGTAGCAATGAAAAGGCAGTGTAACGGGATCGTCTATCATCATTGCAAGTGACTAGGTTGGAATTAATTTTTAAGTTTAGCTGCAGCGAGAAATTAGCACTTGGGACTCTCGGTTTGCAGAAATCGTTGGGGACTCCCACCAGTTTGCTGACCCGGCCTGGAAGGCCGAGGCTTCCGACGGGTATGGACTTTTTCCCGACCGGCACCCCTCCCAACACAACAGGCTCTCCTCAGTCAACACCGGCGAAGGAGGACAAACGCCCGCCCGCCAAGCTGCCCCTCTGCGGGTCTCACCATGCTGAGGTAAGTCGCCCGTGGCGTGCCTATTCCGAGTTCAGATCGCTGTTGACTAACGCCTCAGGGTTGTCACGGTAACCGGCCCCGCCCCCGGGAAGAGCGCAGGCGCGGGGCAGGCACGCAGCCGCACTGTGTGCTTCCGCGTGGCGTCACGCCCCCTAGCTGAGTGGTTGCTCCGGGGCTGACGGAGCGTACGCGGAGCGACGGCTGCTTTACGGCGGTGGCGTGCGCGCGCCGGAAAGTGCGGGAGTGCCGGCGCCGCCGGGCGCTGCGGGCTGTTGGCCGGATCCCTGGGCCGAGGCGGTGAAGTATGCTGTGGGAGAGGCTGCGGGCGCGGGGACGGCCCGGCTCCCTCGCTGCTTTCCTAGGGGGACTCGGGGTGAATCTTCCCGAGGGGGTTTCGCGAGGAAGGGGGTCGCGGGCGTCGCGTTCGGCTCCGGTGACTGACGCCGGAGCCTCCGCCGCTGAGGCGAGCTGAGGGGGGTCGGGCTGCGTTGGCAGTTGAGACGGAGAGGTAAATTGGCTCCGATAGGGTGTGCTGTTTTCGAAAGACCGACCTCCGATTTCCCTCTGCCCGTGGTTCTGTTTCCTTTCTGTGGAGGGATAGGCTGTAAGACAGCTCGAAACAAAAACTAGAAAGGACTGGAAGCAATTCCTGGGGAACGTGTTCCTCACAGATGAAGGTCGCGCAGCGCAGCGCCTGACTCGCCCAAGGTCACAGTCTAGATGTGCTGCCCCACGCGAGGAAACGCTGGCGACGAAGACCAACTGGAAAACTAGAGGCAATTAAGCTGAATTGTCTCTGATTTTAGGACGTCGAACCTAAAATGTCAAATTATTGCCACCGTTTCTTATCTCCAAAATCCATTCCTGGAATAACTCTGCCCTGTCCCACTTTATGGATTATGTTATCAGCAAATTAGTATTACTGAGCTCATCTTTGTGGGCTAACGGTACTAAACCCATTGTAACAGAAATCCAGGTTGTGACAATGAGGACATCCCACCGCCAAATCCCGGGTAGCAAGATAACATCTTGCTGTGGACTTCATGCAGGATTCTGAAACTGTTTAGTATGGAAGTACCAAATCAGTATTTTCTTCTACAGAAACTACAGTTTTCAAAGTATTGGTTTTTATTATTATTAAACCTCAGACAACTCAAGTAGCATTGATGGGCGTAAGGAGATGCAATAAGGCAATACCAAATTGCCTTAAAATGTTGGGTGGGCATCCAGGGCTCAAGCGCTGTAGTGCCCACCACTCTCCAGAGGAAAGAAATTGCTGCGGATGTTAGAGCTCGCTGAACAGTTCTAGGGATCACGGTGCTGCAAATGGTTGCATCTGTGAGCTTGGTTCTCCTCCAGTACTTGTTTTATGAACTGTGCAAGTGTAAGCATGCCCGCTTCCCCTTCTCTCCTTTATACACGGCTTTTTGAACAGATCTGACCACCTGCTTTCATCTCATAAAATCTGGCATCTAGACCTGCCTCTATCTGATCTACATATCCATTGGTGCAGGCAAGTGTGTTGGAGTAAGCTTTTCAGACTTTGGTGAAACGTGTTTCACTTAAGTCTACCAGAACCCACATGTAGTAATAGTGCATGGCTTTTCTTTCCATTTCATCCAGCTTTTTATTACCTGAACTTCCTGACTAAACGATTTGGGGTACCACAACCCCTAATAAAATGATGGTTCTCAACCCAGGACTGAATTTGATTAAGTCTTAACTCCTTGGCCCAGTCATAGGAAGAGCGCTATAAATGAGTGGACCTCCATCCCTGTGCCAACCATACATACCCAAGTTCTCAGAATTGATGGAGGACATCTCTTTAGTAACCGCCTTGATTTCATGAAGGGTTAAGCAGCAGCCTCAGGTCCCTGCTGCATTTAAATTGCTCATGAATTGAGAACCTAGGAAGATCTTGTTTTCCCAGTAGCTACATAAACGCCTGAATGTCAGTGTACAGTAATAAATATATACTGCCTTAATTCATATATATTAACATCAGAGTATGAGACTTATTTACCCTAGCCACATCAGCTACTTTTTTCCTGAGTGAATAGAAAGGACAATTTAAGCCATAGCTCTAAAAACTTTCAGATTACAAATTGTGATTAAAAAAAAAAACAAAAAACTGCTCTTTGCCAGGAATGAAACAAGCTAAAAATTTACAATTTGAAATTACATCTATTTTAGAATTATCTTTAAAGCACATAGTTCTTAAGTCATTCTTCAATGGAAAATTACTTAACCTCCCCTTCCCCACAACTCCCCCAGTAATGTTTTAATGAAATTAGGTGTTAATGTATACTGGGTTAAATACACCCATCTAATTTCACTCTTCCAAAAATCCACTAATCTTCAGTAAAGCGATATAAAAATCAGTTGGAAAAATGAGAGGACATGACAGCAGTAAAACTTTGGAGCTGCAAAACAGATAGATGAATGTGACTTAGCACACCAGAAAAATCCCGTATCTACTGCCTACTTCTCAAAAGGCACTGGATCCTGTTTGGAGATGGAGACTGAAGTATGTGAGAGCTGTTTGAGGAATACCTATAAGTGACTGCCAATAACTTCCACTAACTGCTGGATTTATTTCTGGACAAAATAATACATGTCTCCGTGCTGGGGTGTTGGACTACAAAGTGCATCAGAGCCACAAAGGGGACATGAAGTGAGATGGGGTATAGATTGCTGAATGCAAGGCTCCATTCCTCTTCCAGCTATTTAAAGTTGAATAGGCAAGACTTTAGAAGATGGAAGACTCTTGGAGGAATCTGACCAGTTCATGCTGACATGAAGATGTCCCCTGGTAAAAGACCCACACAATCACTCTATGTGAAGCTCAAAGTCTGGAAGGTGCAATGATGTATGCAGATCTGAACTTTTTTTTTTTTTTTAAAGATTTATTTATTTATACATACTAGAATTGAGGTAGAGGCCAGAACTGTGGAGGGTGAGAGGATTCACCAGAGACAGAGTGGGGAACAGAATAGGCAGACTGACTGAAATATACTGCTGAGGGGAGCAGCAGGGGAGTCCGGAGAGGTCTCCTGTGCTGTCGATAGCTTCCTGGCTGGGGATCAAACTTGTGCTGCAGTGGCTGTGACTAGTTTCATAGGTTGCGTCTTATCCCCCTGTGCCACCAGGGAGGCCCCAGCTCTGAACTTTTTTTCCCCCTTTCACTTGTAAGTGTAGACAAAAGAGAATTACCAGACTTTGAAGAGAAACTCAGAAGTGATTCAAAGGGGAAAAAAAAGCAGAAAAGAATTTGGAGAATAGATAATTGCAAGAGCTAGTATTAACTCAGAAGAATGAGAGTTTTATGGTGTAGATCTCTTATTTCCTCTTGTACCTCAGTGTCTCCCAGCCCTACTTTTAGTGTTTGCTAGCATATCTACGCTAATTCTTAAAAATTAATGTAGAATTAACATATAATAGACTATGCTTGAAAGTATAAATACTTGATAGATGTGGCTATCTATCTAATACGCTTCTGAAACCATCACCACAATCATCTATCATTTTATCAGTCACCTTCTGGATTCCTGGTCCCTTTCTAGTCACCCCCTTTTTGCCTGCCCCTCATCCCAGGTTACTTTAATATTTGAATATTTTGAACACCTTTGTGCTGGTCTCCAGCTAGCTCAGAGCAATCCAAGTGGTCCAAATGAGGTCTCCCTAATACCAGTTTGTTTTTCATTAGTGCTCTTTTTACAGTTGCATAGCAAGATGAAAGGCTTTTCAAGGATACATAAACTTAAGTCTTAAAAGTGGCTTCCCCAAATGCTAACCTCAATGGGAAAAAAAACAGTAACTTTAAAATGGAAAATCCAAACACCAGCTTTATCACTGGATGGAGCCTCTTCTGGGCTGGGCGGTTGGGCTTTTGGCTTCTTCACTACCAGTCATAACAGTGGATGTGAAATAAGTTGTGAATCCGCTGACGTACCCAGTTTCTGCTACTCTTTAGCCTTTGTTAGGATAGCACCCTTCAGGATTTGATCAGGCCTTTTCTCGAGGTTCTCCAAGCAGGACAGGCCTTGCCTTGAGAGCAGGGTGAAGACAATTTCCTTTATAAGGGAATTGAGGCTCAGAAAGGTTAGGTATCCTGTACACCATTTATGCAGCTGAGATTCAGATGTATTTCTAACTCCACTCTGGTAGAAAAGGAGGTACAGCTAACATAACTCTTAATAACCCATTTTCCCTTATCCTATTTCCTTCATAAGACTTGTCACACACAACTCCTAATTACCTTGTGTAAGTATTATATCTGCCTCAGAAGTTAGATCTTTGAGTGCTGGTATCTTACCTGACAAGTTCATAGCTATATCCCTGGAACACAGCAGTGCTCAATTAATATTTGTTGAATGAAAGTTAATTTTCTAGTATATAAAAAATTTTTTTAAAGACTACAGTGTAGTTACATGCAAAAATTTTTCCTTTCCTTTAGGTATGCTATGTATAAAAGTGGATACATTCTATGACAAATGAAAATGGCCAGTTCTTTAAGAGGAGAAGTACTGAATCTTTACAAAAATGTAAGTACCTGTGTTGCCAAATTTCTATATATATTATTATGTGATATGGGATGCTCAAAAATACATAATCTTTCTTTTTTAAGCTGCTGTATCTTGGACGAGACTATCCAAAAGGAGCAGACTATTTTAAAAGGCGCCTGAAGAATGTTTTCCTTAAAAACAAAGATGTGAAGGACCCAGAGAAGATAAAAGAACTTATTAAACGGGGTGAATTTGTAATGAAAGAGCTAGAAGCCTTATACTTCCTTAGGAAATACAGAGCTATGAAGCAGCGCTATTATTCAGATGTAAACAAAACCAACTGAATGCTGTAACTATGATTTGAAAATCAGCTGTTCATAGCAAATATTATAAAACTAAATCTGACCTCACATAGCAAGGTACACATGTACCACAAAAAATACCTGATGGCCTTACTAACCGATAAAGTTTTCAGCTTCTGTTCACAGTGAGTTTTCTCAGCAACACTTTATACTCAACTTTTATTTTAAAATAGAAGTTTAAGCTATATTGTTGACAAATGCCAATTATAAATTAAAGATCACCCAATTCTGAATGAAAATGGCACTTAAATTTAGCTTAACAGGTTTTTGCCAATTTTTCTTAGCCCGTTTCTCCATTTTACTGATAACAGAATGGCATTTCATATACATTTAACAAAGCAAAATAATTTCTTGAAAAGTCACTCCTCTTACCTTTTGAAAGAGTATTTTTTTTTTTTTTTGGACTACTTTGGTACATAAGCAGCACATATTCAAGGTTCACTACAAAACAAATAGCACCTGGTAATAATTTAAGTAGAGTGACAAAGAATAGTGTGTATGGAGCAAGAGTAATTCTGATCTCAGAATTGCTTGCTATTATTCAACGTGATTGGTATTACATATGTACCTATTCAGTTATTTCCATGATTAATTTCACTGCTGGCTCCCTTTGGGCCTTAAAACAAAGATTACCTGTTCTGTATCAACTACCTTCTGTGATTAAAAACTAATAAACAATGCTATTCTATTGTCATAAAAGCAACTTTTGTATCTTCTTCTAAATGCATTAATGTAACAATGGATCTAAAGTTTAGTGAAACACACCTTAACATAATGTCTACAGCATCTTTCATAATATTTCTAACTTAAAAATATATTTTATAAGTTAAAAAGTAACTTTCTAACTGAAAACAAGATTACTGATACATAATCTACAGCTATAAATTATTCTATCCCAGTCACAGGGCAAATGTTTAAAATTTCCAGCAAGAAACACACACTAGCATAGTCACTGTAACTATTTTTATTACATTACAATTATTAGGAGCAGTACAGTTCATGACAAAAATATTACAAATTTCAGATCACTTCACAGCACATACTCCTATAAACATTTAAAAGTTAATTTTAATTAAAAGAGTGGTCATTTTTAAATTTAATGTTTGATATGACCAACATTCCTAGGTCAGCGCAACCAAATGATGGAAAACAACTGGATCACACTGCATATGTCCCACAAAAAAAGCACAATGTACAAAATGTGCATGTTTCAGTTTACACTATACAAAAATAGTTAAAATACATTCCAGGTAAACATGTTACAATAAGAAATTGTACTAGTAAGAAATTGGCACTCAAAGGAAAACTGCAAAAGTATTTTCAACATGAAAACACAAGACAGTGGAATAGGAAACTTTCAGATAAAACATTACATAACCCATTTAGCTCTATGGGGAGGGAGACCCTCTGTAATTGACATTTCTGCAGGTAATGACTTTTTTCCTAAATTGCCTACCATCCCAAGCTGGCACTTAAAACTATTAAATTAAAACAAATGTTAATTTACTTATGACTACACTTAAAGAACTGATGTGAAAATATCTTTAGAAAGAATTTCCATTTTCTGAAGGAACTTCCAGCTACTAGTTGAATGCTATTCAATGTCTCAATGCACAATTCATACTACCTAATAGCAACACAGAAGTTACTAAATATAAATTCAGCTTTAAAGTAACTGATGAACTTTTAAACAATAATTAATATGTAATTACTGAGAAATTATTAAATATAAATTCAGCTTTTATGAGGTTTTAAACAATCATTAATATGTAATTACCAAGAAATTATTACTTTTGGACAAATGGAAATGACAATTTTTATTGCCTACAAAAAAATCCATGTATTTGGGAAAAAAATGGTTAGGGAAAAAACTCACTGGAATACAAATGAGATGAACTTGTGCAAACTGCAACTTAACATGCCCCACAAAGTTTCTATATGTATTAGGACAAAACTGTGCAATGGGGCCAAAGGTTTTGATAACATAAAAATTAGGTTCCAGATTCCTATGCAGTGTGACTCAGTTAAACAGAGCCTAGAAATCCTACTTGGGACTATTTGATCAAATTATACTACACTCTTCTACATTCATCCACAAACAGGTTAATGTCTAAGACTAAATAATTTAGTAATTTTTTTCAACTTCAAGGATTTTTATCTTTAAGGCTGTAAAAATTAGATAATGTTTGTTATATCTAGGATTATCTCTCCCCTTTAAAAAGTCTCCTCAAAAACAAACCTTTAGTCAAGTCATTCAAATTTCATATAATAAAGGATAATAACCACTGCCTTAAAAAAAAAAAAAACTGCCCAGCTACATCAAAAATTCAAGAATCATAAAAAGCCCCTCAGTATGCACTGTAATTCCTGAAATATGGCCCTTTTTTCTCTTGTGTAGAAACAAGAGGCAGTACTATACCAATCTTAACACTTTACATCTAGATAATGTTGTATTAACCTTTAGTTTAGCATAGCATTTCAAGAAGTCATGTTGATTTTTACCATAGAAATTTCCTTCTCTGAATTACCTCAGGCACCAATGTATTCATATCCAGATAAACAAAACTAATTTAGAATTCAGTATTTAATTTTAAAAGTCTATTTTTAATTACTCATACAGCGAGACCAACTAGAATATTACACACTTAGGAATTTTAATATTATTTGCTAACAAACAACTAATATGTACTATAATTGTCCCAACAGAATCAGTCATGCCAAATAAAAAACAATATAATCAAGTTTATTCATTTAAAACAATGAAGTGATTTATATAGTTTGTTTAAACAGTTACATTGGAATCACAGCAAAACTATTATTTTAAAACCTGAAGAAACCATGAAGACCGAATCTCTTTTTTAAAAAACTAAAATGTCCTTAGGTTATCTCTGGATCATGAGCCAAATGCCTCACTAAGATATTACAGACTGCTCTAGAACAAAAGCACTACTTAAGCATTGGACTTATGTCCTTGTTAGGGGATACCAGGATATCCTCGGTGCCTGGCAACTAGTAGGTACTAAAATCAGCTGAATAAATGAATTTTGAATCTTTTTACTGTAAGATTTGTTATTAAAACAATGGAATGTCCCATTGGTATTAGGACTAGTCCTCACTGGACATTACATAAGGAGTTCTGTCAGCACTCCCTTGATCCAACTCTCTTTCCACTAAATAGGGTAATGTCTACTCAGAGCAGGTCTAAAAATTCCTACTTAGACTAATGGACCAAGGAGCAAAGAGATGCTGTTCAAAGGACCAAGACTGATTGCTCCAGCCACCACAACCAATGAGCTATTGGGGTGAATTCCATGATAGTATCTGTCGGAGTCTGTGAAGCCCGAGGCCATAAGATGGAAGGCATTCTGATGTAATGATGGAACACCACAGAGTTATCCAGAGCAGCTATAAATCTTAAGGTTAAGGGAATCAGAAGTATTAAAAAGCATCAAGTCATGGGGCATGCAGAAGAGCAGGCACACAGGATGAAACATGAGGGAGAGAACAGTCCTGAAAACAGTCCTTGGAAATTCAAAATTAAGCTTCACTTCTTACACAAGGCTAGCGATGAAAGATAAAACAGGTAAAAAGTCAGGCTTGTGCTGAGTGACAAGTGGGTGTATCCTTATGTAAACTGAACGTAAATCACACAGTTGTAATGCTAGATATAGCCTTTGAGATGACTTCTTTTAACATGAAGAAATGGATAGATATTTGCTGAAAACTGGAATTGTGAAAAGAACTAGAACCTAAGTCACCTTTCTCTTAGTCCAGTGATACTTTCACCTCAACATACCATCTCACTTCAAATATTTTAGAATAAGAAGCATTTTATATGCACTGAAAGAGTAATTTACAATATTATCTATTTAAGCAAGAGATATTCTGAAATATGAACCAGACCTGTAAAGTGTTTATCAATTATTATTACTTTAGCCAGAGCTAAGAGAACTAGTCGATACTAGAAATTTTAAAACATTCTCACTTCCTTGTTTAAGAAAACCTGGTCTTGGCACCCCCTAACCCAAATCTCATTTAAAATAATTTTTTTGAGTTTTTTTTCTTTCTTTTAAAAAAATTTCCTAAAACCCAAAGTGCTATTCCTGATCTGTCAGCACGTCTACCACCAATGAGAATGTATCTTGCCAAGCTACCCAAACTCTCACCTGGTCCCCATTTTTGACCAACCAATGCACGAAAACCCCAAAGGAGCACAGGGATGCATCCAGACAACACGATTCTCACCGCCACTCACAAGGGCCTGGCCTCACAACAGTGCTCTCCTCAACACCTACAAAAACAACTGGCCCAAATAATCTGTAACATCACTACCAGAATTAAAATTATGATTTTTATAGGCTGAAGTGCAAGAAAAGATTAAAATTTATGCTAAGAAAGAATCTGAAATAGGGAGACAATATTTAATTCCTATGCGATTTTTTATACGTTAAAATTCCTTTGATTACTACAAAAATTTGGGAGCAAGTAAATATATAGCCCCAAAATGGCTGCTGTAACCCTCATTCCATAATGGGTTTGCTTTGACAACAAAAGAGACTTACAATATTAATTAGAATTGATCTAATGTGGAAAGAAACAGCCTTTTAGTTGTTTCCATTGCTTTGTGTTTTTTATTCATTTTTACCCTATTTTATAGAAAAAATATAGTATTTTGGGGAGCGTGACCATGACAAATAGGGAGAAAATCTTGGTGAACAGTGTTTTACATTTGTCAAAGGAAACAAACTACCGACATGAATGGTTGCAAATTGAAGAAGCTACAGAACGCCCATAAATTCATGTTCCCTCGGTGTTTCAGTAAAGCCTCTCATGAACTCTCAATTGAAATCATAATTTGTTAGAAACCCATGTATGTGGCTAGATGAAACACAGAAGAGGGATGATTCAAAAGCTTCATTAGTTTGCTTTACACGTTCACAATTGGTAAGAAAAATAGGAAGTAATCAATTGCATGCACCAAAAGCCCCAAGATGGAAATCTCAGGTGTTCAGTTTCTTTATCACAGGCATTGCTAGTTCAAAAACCAAAACATAGGGAATACTGGCACTTAGAGGAAGAAGTTTCCACTGTCATTTTAAAATAAGCATTCAAAAGCTAACAGTTCGGATGGAGCAGAAAGAAAATTAGATAATGCTAATAACACAAATGCTAATAATTTAGTGTAATGTACAAAAATTACCACTTTTACTTAAGTATATGCCTTAAGAAAAAAGTACAAATTGTATTTACATAATTATACACTTTGTCTTTGACTTCTTTTTCTTCTTTTTACCATCTTTGCTCATCTTTTCTTTATGTTTTCGAATTTCTCGAACTAATGTATAGAAGGCATCATCAACACCCTGAAAAACATAACAAGTACTATAATGTGAATATACGTGATCCTTTGAGATACACAGATAACAGGAGGGGGACATTAATACTGAGAAAGAATAAGGACATTCTACATATCTCTCCAGGCAGCAACTGAATGTACATGAGACTTTTAGGAGTCTTAAATGTCTTCAAGGATATTTTGCCAACATTGTATGTAGAAACATTGATTTCCCTAAAAGGATATAAAAATCAATGGCACGGGATCTTAGTCTTAACAAAAGACTTTTTCACAAAACTTAAGTTTGCTAACTAATTTTCCCCAATTGGGACAACTCAGTCACCAACATCCAAATGGATTTGTGTGTTAATCTGCTGAATATGTTATTTACACGTAAATATCCCTGAGTCTCCAGACTTTAGCTATAAGCTACGCAAAGACATATTATTTTCGTAAATTCTCAATAAACAATATTTGGAATCTGGTTCAATACTACTTTAAATCCATTAAATTCATTTAATGACCAAAAAGTAAACAGTATTCAAATATACACTGTTTTCAAATAATATGTTAAGCAAGCATAAGTTTCAATTTATGTACTTATCATATAAAAAAGAAATTTAGGGCCTCCCCAGTGGCGCAGTGGTTGAGCGCTGGGTTGCGAAGCTGCCTGCAGCCTCTGCAGCGCCGGTTGGATCCCGGCCGCCAGGCGAGGGTCCCACATGGCACGCAGACCTCTCCTGCCGCCCACTGGTCCCCTCAGCAATGTGCTTCGGTCTTTCTGCCTGTTCTGCTCCCTGCTCTGGCTCTGGTGAATTCTCTCACCCTCCCGCGCTTCTGACTGTACCCAGTGCTTGTATAAATAAAATTTAAAAAAAAAATACAAGAGAAACTGAATCTGGACCACTTTAAAATAAATAAATAAATAAAAATAAAAAAAGAAATTTAAAATAACTGCAACACAAAACACAGTAATTTGAAAATATATATGACTTGTTGAAAATGAGATATATCACTTAAATGGTGATGTAGTAATTTGGAGAAGACTCCCTATTGTCTTAGTTTCTTTTTAGTGTTTCAAGTAATCAAAAGCTTGCCATATAAAGCCAAATGCTTTAGTACGTTCAAAGATATTTCCATCTAGTCATATCTACAAAGCAAGGTATCTAAATCAGTTATGGCTGCAAGAGTGAATTTCAGGTCAAGGTAATTTTCAAGCAACAACAGCAACAATTCTTAATGTGATAAATGGCACTCTGGAAATGGTGGGACAGTAAATTTTTAACTCTGCAACACCTAAATTATACAAGATGCAAACATAAATCAATTCTTAGATCCCCGTTAAGCAAATGAAATATAAAGGCAAAATAAAAAATTAAAGAAAAAAATATGATCCTCTCTGTATTTTTAAAACTGTTCAAATGCATAGTAAATACATTGTCTATTAACCTAGTGATGCTTTCAAACTTAAACACTAGGAGTCTTAGCAACAGGCACCCACAAATAAAACTTAAATCATATCACTTCAAGAGCAATTAACATTGGTTTTAAGTGATAACCACCTCTGTTGAATTCACATAAACACCTTCATTAAATTATATTATCTTGAAAATAAGTTAGGAATTTAACAATGGTATGATTTCTCTTTACTGCAACAAGATCTTTTACAATTAATATTTCGAAACAGTAACACAATTCAGCGCATTTTTATTCATGTTACACTTAAAACTAATTTTTCACTAATTTTTAAAAAAAGTAAACAGTAGGAATGAAAAACTTGCTCACATTAAAACAAAAAGTAAGATAGAAATCAGCATCAATGATGTGAACACTAGTGAATAAAATCCTTAGTAGAGGCCCCCCAAACAATACAATTTTTAACATAAAAAAGTAAACATTGCTTTCTGATGTCATTACTGATAGAATATAAATGCATGCTTTCATTTCACCCAAAGGAGAGCAAAATCTGGTAAGACAGTTCACAATCACATAAGCAAGGCTTAATATACATAAACTTTCACGCTAATCTTTTTAGCACATAGAGTTAAAATTGTCCGCTGACGTAATTAAGAAAATTCTATACTCACCAACCCTTGACTAATTTTTAATCATAAATCCTTAGAATGTGTTGGAATATTAAAAGAGGATCTAATCAAACTCCCTACCCATAATCCTAAAGCAATCTACTCAATTTCAACTGTATTTTATAATGAAACAAAAAAGGGCAATGAAACTAAAATGCAAAACCATGGGCTAGACACAGAGAAAACACATTCTAAGGTAAAACAATACACAAGATTTAGGCGACAATAACAGAATTTTATAGTATTACATTCTTCTAAGATTCTGACATAATTGCCGTTCATATTGCACTGACTCATTTCCATATATACTATATAATCTTATTTAAATTATTTCCATGATTAGGGAAATGTTACAATAAGTTAAAACAGGGCAATGAATTATTTTCTTCATATATGAACTAGTTGTTACACACACACACACACACAACACAAAAGTAGTATCCCACTAATTATTTGAAATTCACATTACACAGGCACTAAAAATATTTGCACAAACCAGAAATTTTAGTATATGCTTCCAACTTCATTTTAAATGAGAATTAAAGAATAAAACATTTTATACTCAATAGCTCTACATATGACTCATCTTTTATCCCATCTAATCATGGGATAAAAGGAGGAAAAAATTAAAACCATAACCTAAATCTGATCGTATAGCTACTATGACTGATCCTACAATTCAGATGTACATTTTATACTTTTGAAAATACGTATTTCGGACCTTAAATTCATATAATAAAGAGTACCAACCCTTAGAGTTTAATAAACATAAGAAATGGTATCTTACAATTTTATTTCATGTTCTCAGAGAACATGATAGATCATAAACAATATACATCTAAATCTTAAGTTTTGGCATCAATTTTATGGCATCTACTGAATGAAATACTGCCTGAGCAAGACCAAATCTAACATGGATTGATTTAGAAAGGAAATTGAGAAATTCAACTCAATAAATCCAACCAGGTCACTACTATGTGCCAGGAACCTTCATTAAGCAATGGCCATGCAGATTAAAAATACATGCTCTAGCTCTCCAAGATCCTACTGTCTAATATAGGAATCAAAAATGAAGGAGGTTATGTTACTATAACTGGATAAGCATCCAAAAGTGAAGAACAGCACCCTGGGAATATACAGGAAGGGCATATGCCCAGACTCTGGGCTTAAAAAAAAGATCCTAGAAAAGATGAGATAGGAGAGTCAGGTAAAGGTGTTACCTAATTAATAAAAGTAAGAAATAAATATACTGGCTTTCTAGCAAGAGCAATATCCAAGACTCAGGGAGAGGTAAGCTGTAACATGCTGCTTATTTATATAACAAAAGAAATTCACTCAAGGAGTTTGTGAGATAAGGCCATGGCTGGAAGGGTAGGAAGGTGTTAAAAGCCACATTATAATATGCTATGAAATTTGAGATTTTCCTCCATAAGTAACAAAATTAGTGACTGGATTTAAAAGTAAGAGGATGACATTTCTTTTAATTATATTTCTCTAGCTGCACTGTGAATGAGGGCAACAACAGGTAAACCATGTGAGAAGAATTCCCAGCAAGAAATGACAGCTCCTGTACTGATACAATAAGAGTTAGAATGTCATGTCCTAAGGATCTGTGAGCCATCCAAATTTGCACATTTACTTTTAATCTAATGAGTAATCATTTATAACTGAGGCAGTTTTGATGACTGTAGACATCAACCCTATATAGAATAGTGAAACTAAGGTTCCAGAAGGTAAGAAACGCGCCCCCCCCCCTTTTTTTTTAACTTTTGGCCATTCCAGAAGCAAATACTTGCTCTCTCATTCATCCAAATGGGGTGAATTTTCACAGTAACTTTTTCATTTCTTATTTTTACTAACAGAAAATTTAAATCAGAGCTCAAAGAGTCAGTTATTTACCATTATTTTTTCAACCAAAATTACTTACTTCTTGAGAAGAATTCCCAGCAAGAATGACAGCTCCTGTACTGATGCAATAAGAGTTAAAATGTCATGTCCTAAGGATCTGTGAGCCATCCAAAATGGGGTGAAAAAGAGGGATGGAGGAATCATCCCAAGGCCCCCAATTTTCTCATTTGGGTAAATAAATAATGTGCAAATTATGGAAACAACTACAAGTTTCTTATCTCTTCACACTTCCCATCAGAATACCAAACCTATGTATTTCTAAAATGGGTGCTGCTTTGTTACCTTGGAAAGATAATTTGCTTTCTGCCAAGATGAATATGCTGAACTTACCATGTTACATTAAAATGCATTTTTTAATTTTCACACAGCCAGGAGTCTTTTCTTCTTTGCTGATTTTTTTCAATCTGTATTGTCGGATCTCTCTCACCAATGTATAAAAAGCATCCTCCACTCTCTGCATTGTAAAACACAACTTCTTTAAAGTTTGTTTCAGTGGTAATGATAATTTATTGGGAGAGCCATGTGCAAGAAGTTTAAAATTATGAACTTTACACTTGAGATCTTTTTTTAAAAAGATAATCAGATTGATCAAATAAATCTAGGGATGCAGTTTTGAAATATGAGCTCAATCCTGGTTTGTTCTTTAAAGTCGAATTTCTTTTGCAATGAAATTAGAATTTTTTTAAATTTAAATTAGGATTTAGGGTAGATTATGAAAAACCTAAGTATATGTGTTAGTATCATGTAATGCAATCATTTTAGTTTGCTAGTTATGGGATTAATGAAAGCCTAAACTGAAGTTTAAATTATTTCTTTGACTTAGGAAAAATAAATCATTTATGTTCTACTGATTCCTTACCTCTCTCCCCTACCTCCCATCATCACCCTGTGTGGAGTATGAGGAGAAATATGGTACAAAAGGTATGTTCAACCTTTGTTTAAAAAAAGAAAGAAAGCCCCTCAAAATTAAGTTGGATCAAGAGACTGGAATCTAAAGTTCCATCTTTAATTCTAACACTGTCCAGTCAATTTCCAG